GCTCTTGGCGGTGAAGTAAGGCGGAGGGGGAGATGGTGATGGGTTTGATCGGGGGGTTGTTCGGGGAGGCGTGGGTGAGCGCCCCGTGGGGGTTGAGTGACACTGGCCGGGGGCGTGAGGGTTGGGGCGAGGTTCGGGGGCCAGCGAGTGATGCACTGAGTCATTGGACGACTGATTCCTGAGCGCCCAGTAAATGCCAGGCACCGTTGCAAGTGTTTCGCGTTCATCTTCACCGGAGCCCTGTATCTTCATTCAGAGAGAGAAAACAGCAGAGTGGCTCGGCAGCCTGTCCAGAGTCACTTTGGTAGCAGAGCCGAGGAATCCGTTTTTCCCTCCCTTTTCACTACTTTATTATGTTTATTGTTTCCTGTATGTCTCCCTCGCTGGGATATAAACTCCGCAGGATCGGAGAACTCAGGTTTTGCCCACGGAAGTATTTCCAACACGCAGAACAGGCACGTAGAAGGCACTCGTTTCTTCAGTGAATAAATGTGGCACAGTAGGCGATCGGTTGATTCCAAAGCCTGGACTCCTAGTGGGGCACCGTTTAGCTCATTGACGATAGTTGAGCTCTGTGTGAATGCTGACTTCTAAGACTAGAATGAGGCATTGCGTCTGCTTCTATGGAGTGGAAACCTTTGGGTTGTACTGCACTTCGCTCCATGGAAAGCAGCATAGGGGTTGCTAATGGAATCTCCTGTGGTCATTGTGTTTCCAGGGTCAGAGTGCATAACTGAGACCACTGCTCGCCACCTTCAGACGCCAGCGTCTCTGCCCCCTGCTTGGTCACTTAGGCTGAGGAGACCCAGGCTGAGGCCTCAGGAGGAGGTGAGTTCCCCTGGTCACAGGTAGAGATCTGGTGCTGCAGTGTGGTCTTAGCTGAGGTGCATTTCTCTCTCTCAATTTCTTGATCCTGCCTCCTTGGGAACAAGACAGGTGCTCTGAGGCGAGTTGGAGGAGAAGGCTCAGCCCAGTGCCAGACCCTGTCGGCACAGGGAGGAGGCTCACAGGACAGCAGGTCCTAGAGGAGCTGGTTCTGCCATGGCCTTTGTTTCTCTTTCAACTGAGAGAGAGCAAAGCTGGCTCAACTTACAGGCATCACGGCGGACCATGTGACAGTGCAGTTTGATCCCTGTGGGAAGACAGAGGGATGAAAGTCACAGGTGGAGGGAGGTGTAGATGGCCCCACGGGAAGGTGCCCTGCTGTAGTGCTCACAAAGGCCGGATGAGGCTGGGAAGGATCACGACCAGCCACGGTGTATTTTGTCCTCTCCTAGCACCCCTGTTTGTGCATCATTTTTGCTGCCCTCTCTTGCCATTGGCTGCTTGTGGATTTGAGCCAATCTCACAGCATCAACCTTTTGCCTGCTTCTAGGGGAACTTGTGAATCTCCCTCCATCCTGACCAAAGTGCAGAAAATGGGTTTTCAGTAGAATTTCTTAGTAGTCTCTAGGCATACATGCTGTCATCCAACTCTGCTGCCTTATTTTGATGCTTGATGAAACTGGGAGCGAGACGTGACTTGCTAAGGGTCTGAATCCTGTTGTCCTGATGCTGGCATGGTGATTGCTGCAGTATTCAATACTCACTCTGCACGGAAGCTCCTTGCTGGAAGTTTCTTTTGAATAACTGCCAAACAAGGAAGAGCATGGCAGTCCAGATGCAACTGGTGGGAAAGGAGGAAGTGATGGGATGGGAACAGGGTAAGGGGCAGATAGAGTGGAGGGTGCAGGGGGGGCAAGCACATGGTTTTCAGCTCCACACTGAGCTGACGGTGCTGGGTCGTTACCCACCAACCCCTTCGTCCCTCCAGGCCTCTGAGCCCTGGTCTGTCTCCTTCCAGCAAAGCACATCAGGAGATCCTTCTGATGCACACTTTGTTGAGGGTCTTCACCTCTAGGGCTCAGTTTGATAATGGGTGGCTTTTAATAATTTTTAGTTTTCATTTCACTAGTGATTAATATTCATTGTCAGAAAATGAATATTAAGAAAATGCAAATAAACACAAGAAGAAAACTGAAGTCACCACCCAAAGGTAACCCATGTCAACATTTTAATAAATGGTCTTTGGCATCCGCTATATGTACATATTGCTTAACAAAAATGAGATCACACTACATGTGGTTGTTGCGGTCTGCTTTTAATCAGGTTCACTACTGAAAACAAAGTTCTGTAGCATCTCGAAAGCCCATGCCATGTACCTATTTTTGCGTGCGTCGTATTTTGTAACACAGTCCCCTTTGCTGGACAGATAGTTGCTTCCAAAGCTTTGATGGTGGAAATGACTGCAGTTCATATTCTTGCAGCTTAGCGTTCATTTATGATTGCTTGATTGTGATACGTTTCTAGGAATCGAATCCTTGTGATAAAAGAGGTGTCAAGTGGTTTATGGTTTGAGCTACACGTCTTTAGACACAAATCATACATCTGTCCAGTAAGGGAAACAAAATATCATGCGCAAAACCCACACGATCTCAGTAGAGTCCAGTGGGATCAGGCTGGAACTACCAGGCCATTATTAGATCATTCTCCCAAGGGTGGGAGGTAATTATTATTGGGGTGGGGATGATGGTCTCATGTCTCTACCCACTGATCTTAACCTTCCTGATTCTGCCGTTTAGATCGCCATCCTTTGTCTGGAGCAGAACAGGATGACCATGTCCCAGGTGAGTTCCTGATTTTCCCCTACTTTGTTTCCAGTGAAATTGAGGAAACTTTTAAGAATCTATATACTAAGCCTGAAAAATATCAATTATCCCCTCCTCTCTGGCTGTTTTCTGTTTAACCTGTTATCCACCTCTGGTTTCTCTAATTCTTTTCCTCACCAAGACAGAGGAAAAACAAACAACAAAACAAGCTGTCTTTCTCCAGTTGTTCCTCTGGGAGCTGCACCTCATCTATCCCTCTTTTCCTTCTCAGAGAAGATTGTTGAAATACCTAGACTCATCTCGCTTTTCCCTCTTTTACTTCTAGATCACTTGTTCTTTTTCATTACTTTTAAGGTAATAATTTCATGTGTAATGCTTTAATGTGCGTAGAAAAATCCAGCTGCCAAATGTTTCTGTTTTCTTCTTCCCTTAGTAGCACATTCCTCAGAGATGCCTACCATTGGCCCGGTGTGGTGGCTCACGCCGGTAATCCCAACACTTTCAGATACCTAGGCAGGAGACTCACTGGAGGCTAGGTGTTTGAGTCCAGCCTGGGGAACATAGTGAGACCTTATCTGTACAAAAAAATAATTAAACTAGCTGGATGTGATGGCGTGCGCCTATAGTCCCAGCTACTTGAGAGGCTGAGGTGGGAGGATTGCTTGAGCCCAGGAGGCCGAGGCTGTAGTGAGCCAGGACTGCACCACTGCACTCCAGCCTGGGTGACAGAGCGAGACCCTGTCTCAAAAAAAAAAGAAAAAGAAAAAGAGATGCCCACCATTAATACTTCTTTGAAACCATGGGGCAGATGAATTTATGTCAATTTAATGAGCTAAAAACATAGAGTTTTGTATGTTTCGACACAAATGGCATCATACTGCCATACCCATCTTGCTTTTTCCGCCTGATTATATTCTGGGTGGTGTTGCTTGCCAATATATAAAGATTTGTTTTATTTCCAATTTCATAGCATGAATATATCATTTAACCGTTTCTCTATTCGTGGGTATTTCGGTCTTTAATTTTTTTACTACTGTAAACAGCGTTGCACGAATAACTTCCTATGTATCTGTTTGCTCAGTAGTAGAAGTGTTTATAGAGGTTTTACCTGGAAGCTGGATTTTTTTTTTCGTGAAAGCTACTGAAGTTTTGAATTTGTCCTCCCAAATTCTTCATAATTACTCCTTTCACTAGATTTTAAGAGCAGATCATTTCAGTATTGCAGTTTTCCAGGTTGTCCACGATGAAAAGGCACCCAATTCATTGTGTGAAGCCACTTAACCTGAAGTTTAAGGAAGATGCTACAAAAAAGAAAACTATAGGCCAGGTTCACTTAAGAATGTGGGTGCCAAAATTCTAAAAATATTCTGAATAGAACATTGGTAAATTGAATTGAACATTTTAAAAGTAACGCATGCGCGTGGTAAAAATTCCAACCAAAGCTTTATTCAACAAAAAGGTGAAAAATAATTCTCCTGCCCCCACGATGCCCTCATTTTTCAGGCACTCTTCCAAACATCATGTGTATATGTGTCTCAATGTGCGAATCTCTTTCTCTGCTCACTGGCTTGTGTGCACGGTCTCAGACTGTCTCTTTCTAGCAAATCACAGCACATTCTGGTCCTTTTCTTGATGATCTGTCCACTTTTCTCGTGTTGAGTCTGCTCCAGGGTGTCTCACTGGGGCACTATTGACATTTTGGTTCAATTTCGTTATATGCTGTGGGTCGCCTTCCTGTGCCTTGTATGTGTAGCAGCATTCCTGGCCTTAGTCTGGTAGATGCTATTAGAACCCCTCCCCCCAGGGTTGACAACCAGACTGTCTTCAGTCATTTCCAAATATCCCCTGGGTGACAAAATTATCCAACATTTAAAACCAGTGATCTGACTCCATTTACCAGTTTGGCTGCTCGGGTAGAAACACCATTATTTATTACCTTTTTCCTAGTGATCGGCATTTGGGATAGTTCTAGTCTCTTGCTACCGTCAACAATGTGGCAGTGTACAGTGCATTCTTGTTGCGTGCATATGAGTACACCTGTCGGATAACTTTCTAGAAGTGAGCTTTTCTTTTTGTGTGTATGAGTTAGAATCTCATTCTGTCACCCAGGCTGTAGCGCAGTGGCACGATCACGGTGTCGTGATCGACCTGCTGGGCTCAGGCCATCCTTCCGCCCCAGGCTTCCAAGCAGCTGGAGCTACAGGCATGCACTACCACTCCTGGCTAATTTTTGTTTGTTTGTTGTAGAGACAAGGTCCCGCCAAGTTGCCCAGGCTAGCGAACCCCGGGGTCAGGCAGTCCTCTCGCCTCCGCCTCCCAAAGTGCCAGATTTACAGGCGTGAACCACCATACCTGTCTGTGTGTATCTTGAAGACTGATTCAGAACTGTCATATGAGATGTACCGGCTGGTACTCCTAGCAACAGCATAATGCCTTTTTCCGTAAACCAGCAACCACTGTGTGTTATCCAATACTTTGGTTGTTGTCATCATGGAGAAAAGAGTGGTGCATTTTAATGTGCACTTCTTGGATTGAGTGACTTCATATTTTAAAACGCCACCTGTACTTCTTCAAATAAAATGTCATTTGACCCTTTTCGTCCTGGGTGTGAAATTGACATTAATTGTCGGATGCCAGCTCTTTATGTTAACCTAAGTAAAGAAGATCTCTGTCCTATATGTTGGAAATGATTTTTCGTAGTTTGTCACTTGTTTTGAGTTGGTTTACCTTACATCTTGGGGAGTGGACATGTAAGTTTTCACAGTATTTGATGACTTTTGGAATTCTCACGTTACTGAAGTAGGATTCTGTGAGTCGAGATGGTAGACATGAGATATCATTTCTGTGGGAAAAATTAGTCAGTGAATGATGAAGGCACAGTTGAGTCTTCGTCTGGATGGAAACTCCTCTACACCCTATCAAAGTACATTTCAGATCGATTGAGACCTAAATATAGATAAATAACGATATATCGGTGTATACAAATATAATTTCATTCTGCTGTTTGAAAAATAGGTGCAAATTTAGATGGATATTTGTATAATGTTGTTCAGAGCAAGAAACATTTGAAATGAAGACAGTTAAGCCAAACACCATAAAGAGAGGACTCTCAAATTGGAGTTCATTAAAATATTAAGAACTGTACAGTCAGCTGGGCTCGGTGGCCCAGACTGTAATCCCACACCTTGGGAAGCTGAGGTGAGTGAATTGCCTGAGCCTGTGGGTTCGAGACCCGCCTGGGCAACTTGGCGAGACCTCATCTCTACAATAAATCAAAAAATGAGCCGGGCGTGGTGGCGCGCGCCTGTAGTTCCAGCTACTTGGAAGGCTGAGGCGGAAGGATCGCCGGAGCTCAGCAGGTCGAGGCTGTGGTGGCCGGGAGTGGCCACTGCACTCCAGTCTGGGTGACAGTGAGACTCCAACTCAAAAAAAAAAGAACTGTACAGTCAAAAGACACATTTGTGACTGAGAGAAAATATATATGATGCGTATGACACCCAGAGGATGAGTATACAGAAAACGCAAATTGGTGATTGAAGAAGAGAAAATGTGGTAGAAAAGTAGTCAAAAGACAGGGCAGGCTATTCATAATAAAAAAATGGAGTGCCATAGGAAAAGATGTTTACCCTCCCCGGGTTTCAAGCCAGGAAACAGGACTCATTTTTCTTCCTTTTTTCTTTTGCATTCCAACAAATGACCCAGTCTTAGCCTTCTACTAGCTTTTTGTTTTCCGGGCATTTTTTTGTTTTGTTTTTACACACACACACACACACACACACACACACACACACACACACACACACACACACACACACACACCAGCATTTTGCATGGGTTGTTTTAAATGAAAATACGCTCTTTCTATGCACTTTCTGAAATTTACTTGTTTCATTTAGACAGATGTATCCCAGACATACCTACATTGTCAGTCAGTTTTTTTCGTGACAGCTCACCACTATAGATGTAGCAATTTATTTAACCGCTCTGGAGTCCTCCCAGTCCACATGCAGTATGTCTACCAGTTGGGCCATTTTTATCATAAGCCCTGCTGCCTGTGAGTACAGCTGTCATTACCATTATTGGGTTCCCAAGAACCCCGGACATTTAGGGCTTTTTGCTTCTACTTTTTGGTAATACAAAGATTGCCGTGGGCATCCCCATGAACATATAAATATTTCAGTGGGATACAGTCCTGTAAATGGGACTGTTGATTAAAATGAGAGGAGAAAACCTTTACTAGCTACAGCCAAATGGCCTGTGATCCAGCCTTCATGAGAGTGAGTACTCATGTTTCAGGACTCTCATCAACAGTGACTATTATCCATCTGCAGAATGTTCACCACTCACAGATGAAGATAATGTCTTACTGTTCAATTAGTATGTTTTTGAGTTTTAGTGAGGTCTGTCATCTTTTTTGTATGGTTTCTAGGCCACTATTGTTTCTGTTAGTATGCGTCTTTTTTCCATTCTTCTGGGTTGTCTTTTCTTATTCCCGTATTGAAGGCCTAGGATAAAATCTTAGAAAGGGCATTTCTGTGTCAAGGGTATTTGCGGTATACATTGTAAGATATATTAACCAATTGTTCTACCACAAAATATGGTAACAGTGTCTAACTTTTTTGGTGTCTTTTCTTCGTATGTGACTGTACTAGGTATTTTCAACTTTTTAAATATTTAAGAATATAAAGAGTGACATGTGGTAGACTATTACACATTTGTTTTCTTTTTCTTTTATTTTTTGAGGAAGGTGTCGGGGCCTCACTTTGTTGGCAGGGCTGGAGTGCAGTGGCAGGGTCAGGGCTCACTGCAGCCTTGAATCCCTGGGCTCAGGTGATTCTTCTGACTCCACCTCCCATGTAGCCAGGACTACAGGCACATGACACAATGCCCGGCTAATTTTTTTTTTTTGGTAGAAATGAGAGGTCTTGCTACGCTTCCTAAGATGGTCCTGAACGCCTGGGGCTCAAGCAATCCTCTGGCCTCTGCCTCCCAAACTGTTTGAATTACAGGCATGAGCCACTGTGCCTGGCTGGTTGTATAGTATTTTTTTTTTATTTGGAGGCTTACTCTGTGTCACTGGGTCAGATAGTATAAATTTATTTTATTTTATTCTGATTGTATATTAGATCGTGGTCTTTTGCTTACTGATTTGCCAGAAGTTTAGTGTATGAAGAAATTTATCCCATTGTTATGTATGTTACAAATATTTTTCTCTCTCCGATATTGATGTTTCATAATTTTTAAAATTTACATTCTGCTATTTTAAAATTTCTAATGTCTAAGTAGTCGAGTTTATCAGTCTGTAGTTGTATGTCTTCTGAATTTGGGGATTGCTTAGAAAGGCTTTTTTGTCGTTGTTGAGTTGGAGTCTTACTCCTTCACCCAGGCTGGAGTGCAGTGGCACACTCACGGGCACCCCAGCATCAACCTGCAGGGCTCAGTCGATCCTTCCACCTCAGCCTTCCAAGCAGCTGAACTGCAGGCGCGTGCTACCATGCCCAGCTAATTTTTAAAATTTTTATTGTAGAGATGAAGTCTCACCAAGTTGCTCAGGCTGTTCTGGAACTGTGAGTGCAGGCAATCCATTCACCTCAGGCTCCAAAGTGCTGGGATTACAGGCTTGAGACACCGCGCCCAGCATAGAAAGGCTTTCAACCACCCTGAAATTATAGAAACTTTAAACTTATTGGTTAATTTTATGGCTATCGTGTATACACTTAAATCTCTGATTTATCTGTAATGTATTTTGTAGTTAGGAAAGTAAGATAGGTAATCCAGTTTTAAGGAGCCTTTTCCTTCCATCAATGCATAGCCGGATTTCCTAATGACTGTTCTAGCTATTATTAACTTTTTAAATGTTTAAGAATATGAAGAGTGGTACATGGTAGACTATTATACATTTATTTTATTATTTATTTTTATTTTATTTTGGGGGGAGGGTGCCAGGATCTCACTCTGTCACCGAGATTGGAGTGCAGTAGCAGGATCAGGGCTCACCACAGCCTTGAACTTCTGGGCTCAGGTGATTCTTCTGCCCCCACCTCCTGAGCAGCCAGGACTACAGACACATGACACCATGCCCAGCTAATTTTTTTTTTGTTGTTGGTAGAGATGAGAGGTCTTGCTATGTTGCCTAGATGGTCCTGAGTTCGCCTGGGATCAAGCAATCCTCTGGCCTCTGCCTCCCAAGCTGCTGAAATTACTGGCGTGAGCCACTGTGCCTGGCAGGTTTTATTGTATTTTTTTGATTCAGAGGCTTACTCTGTGTCACTGTGCCAAATAGTATGCATGTATTTTGTATTATTTTGATTGTATATTAGATTGTGTTCTTTTGCTTACTGATTTGTCAGAAGTTTAGTGTATGAAGGAACTTATCGCATTGTTACGTATGTTGCAAACATTTTTCTCACTTTGATACTGATGTTTCACAATTTTTAAAATTTTCACTCTGGTATTTTAAAATTTCTAATGTCTAGGTAGTTGAATTTATCGTTCTGTAGCTGTATGTCTCCTGAATTTGGGGATTGCTTGGAAATGCTTTCAACCACTCCAAAATTATAGAAACTGTAAACGTCTCTGTTAATTTTGTGATTATTGTGTATACCCTTAAATCTGTCATTTATCTGTAATGTATTTTGTAGTTAGGAAAGTAAGATAGGTAATCCAGTTTTAGGAGCCTTTTCCTTCCATCAGTGCCTAGCCAGACTTTCTAATGGCACCTTTTCTTCAGAGATTTAAGATACTTTTATAATGAACTGTACTCTGACTGTGTACACATAGGATCTCTTAGTGGTTTTTAAGTTTCGTCATCATCATCATCTTTATCATTTTTAGTGGTGTGTTTCTAGAAACCTGAGGGTGGAATGATAGCTGTATTACTGGGTCTGCAAGATAGGGAAGAAAACCAAAGTGTTTTTCCTACTCTCACTCAACGTGACACTTGTGGCATGAGATGCGTGGTGGTTGTTACCCACCCACCAAGCAATTCTCCCGTGGAAACCAGCTGGGTGTCCTCTGAGTCCATTCGATTCAGACACTGTCTACAAGGAGACAGCTCTTCAGATTCCACAGGTTGAGGGCTTGGTCCCCAGCTTCAGATGCCAGTCACAGGTAGTAGGTGGTCACCTATACTTCTGAATGATGGGTTGTCAATTGGGTCGTTCGGACCCCCTCCTCAGGTTCAACTCATTTTCTAGAGGGTGTCATGGAACTCAGGGAAACACTTTACTCATGTGTACCCATTTATTTTAAAATGTGTTACAGAGGATGGAAGGGATACACAGGGCAAGGTATGTGGAAAGGCACATGGAGCTTTCTTGCTGTCTCTAGATTCACCAGCATCTGGGAACCTCCAAGTGTTCGGCTCTCCAGAAGCTGTCGAAGGCTAGCCCTTTGGGGTTTTGATGGAGGCTTCATTACATAGGCATCATTGATTGAACCATTGCCCATTGGTGATCCACTCGACTTTCAGCTCCTCTTCCCTCCCCAGAATTCGGGGGCTGGGGCTGAAAGTCCCAACCCTCTAATCTTGCTTTAGTGTTTTGATGATCAGTCCCCATCCTGAAGCCACCTAGGGGCTACCAGTCACCATTTGTCTCATTTGCATACAGAAGACACTGTGATCATTCCAGTGCAGATTCCAAGGGCTTTAGGAGCTTTTCTCCGGGAGACAGGACAAAGACCCAATATGTATTTCCCAGTATCAAGCCAGGCAACATTACTTAGGATAAAAATGCCTCCTGATTGGTAAACAAACTGTATCTGGGCTGGGAAGACTGTGAAAAATTGTCAATAGCTAGTAGTGAACCACAGATTTTTGTTTTCCTGAGAGTACGTTGTCACTCTTGTCACTGGGCATATCGTTTGATTGGACAATGCCCAACTGGACTATTACAAGAGATATGGACATATGGAGCGGGTCAGGGCTTCTAAGCAAGATCATCCCTGCATTCAGCAGTCTAGTTTGTTCCCAGGCATCTGCAGTGTCATTTGGGAAGGGCAGTTTGGGCTAATAGCTACCGAGCTACTAAATTGCTCTGAGAAGCCCTCCTACTGGAGAGACCTGCCTGTCACTGCCCTCTGCCTCTCTGGCTTTCCTCTCTCCTATCCTTCTGCCCAGCTGAGTAAATTGATACCTGCTGTGGCCAATTTGGGCCTCGTGGGCGCAACACCTCTCAGTGACTCAAAGACCACCAAGTGTGGGCATGACAGGATGGGATCCAGAGCATAAACAGGTGGGTTATTGGTCTCTGGTAGGAATTAGGGCACTTTTAGAAGTGAGTTCTTTGGTGGTGACAAGGCCAAACACAGACCTTCCGCTGTTTCCTCTGTCAGCTGCCCTGGCCACAGACCCTCTGGCTTCCTGTTCTTTGTCTCGTGATTGATGAGTGAAGGTCAGAACTGTTTGTCATGATTGACTATGTTTAGAACTGTTTGTTGTAGCTCTGTATCGCATGTGACACCTGCTCTGTCAGCCCCAAGCAGAATTGACTCCTGGGCCTCCTGGACCCTGTCTCACATCTGTCATTGCCCCTGTAAGGCGGGTCCCCTCCACCCCTCCCTTTCATCTGTGAGTTTGTGTTGTTTTATTCCCTCTGCTAAACTGAAACTCCTTGTTGAAGAGGTGTTTGTTTGTTTTAAATTAATCTTTACTTCTGCAGGACTTAGCAGCTTGGTTTCTATTCAGTAAATATGTGTTGAATGAATGTGTTTCCAGGCTAAGATATTTCTAATACCCTATCTGTTTCTCCTGTGAGGTTTAAAATAATTTTAGTCATATCAGTACTCTATATTATACACTATGCCAAACTGTGACTAGTGAATAGCATAAGGACAAGTACCTGGAGAAACGTGGGTGCCGAAGCCACACCATATGTACTGGAATCCCTCATTCCTAGCTGTGTGACCTGGGCTAGTTACTTTAGGCTCTGTGTGCCTCATGTTCCTCCTCATCTATCAAGTTTCTCCTTGGGTGGCCATGAGGATGGAAATCTTAAGTGTGTGTAAAGGGCTCAGAAAGGACAGAGTCAGCCCTTCATGTGTCGTGTCCCAGTCCCCTGAACTGATCTCTTTGTGCTAAAGAGGAATGTGCTGCTGCAGGAATCATTGACCTTCAAGGATGTGTTTGTGGACTTCAGCCGGGAAGAGTGGCAGCAGTTGGATTCTGCTCAGAAGACCCTCTACAGAGATGTCATGCTTGAAAACTACAGCCACCTGGTGTCCGTGGGTGAGGAACTGCTCCACAGTGTGATGTAGAGTACAGCCAGTAGTGTCTCCCTCTCAGCTGCTGCAAGCTCTGGGGCCTTGGAATCCCTCACTGAGTTGGGCTTAAGGCTCACTGTCACATGTTCATAGTCCTGTTTGGACACTGGAAAGCAGCATATTGGTGCCTTCGCCTGCTATGTGAATAGCTATGTGCATGGGGCAAATCGCCATTTGCATGGGGAAGTCTACTGAGGGCATGCTGTCTTCAGCTTGCAGGGATGTGCCTTGGTTCTGGATTGCATCCAGCGTTAATGACTAAATCCTATGTCATTTCCCCTGAACAGGGTATCTACTTGCCAAACCAGATGTGATCTTCAGGTTGGGACCAAGAGAAGAGTCCTGGATGGCAGATGGAGGAACTCGGATAAGAACCTGTCCAGGTGAGCACACGCCAGGCGAGTCAGGCCAGGGAAAGGGGAAGTGTTTGGTTGGTGAGAGCTTGGCTTCTGGGATATGCTCAGGAGCTTTCCTCAGAGCCCCCAGACTTGTGGACATGCCCCAGATCTGAGGACACGAGCTGGTTTCATATGCAGATGAGGCCTCTGCCTGGCAGCCTTTTTAGTCTCCACGATCTTTGCTTGGTGTTCACACAGAGTATGGCCACTCTTGTTCACAGATCCCCTTTCTACCTTCTAACCTCCTGGCTTGCTAGTGAGAGGTGCTAAGCACGTTCTCATTCCTTTCCCACCTCCTTTCTGGAAGTTTTTAGGACTTTTTCCTCCTCTTTGGGCCTTTGTATTGTCACCAGAGTAGATGTAGGTGGTGGTCTTTCCTCTTTTTTGGGCCTACTGTGGGCCTTTCTGTCTGAAATATGAATTCTTTAATCTCAGGGAAATTATCTTACCTGGATTATTGGAGTCGTTATGGACAACAAAACTTTGCTAGTGGCCTTTAAATCTTCCAGGCCAGGTATGCACCATGTCCTTGTCTGCCCTTGCTTTGTGGTAAACACTCTAAACCTTCACACCATTTTCTGTTTTCTCCTCTTATTTCTTTTCATACTCTTACAAATCTGACTCGATGCCATCTGTTATCAGATTCTTCCTCTTAGCAATAGTTCCTCTCACTGGACTCTTGTTTTTTTTGTGTGTGTGTTGTCTATTGATTCAAAAAATATATAAATAAACATGAGCATACATTACTCCTAGGTTGGAGTACTTCAATGAACTGTATTTCAGTCCTGAATAGAGCTATTTTTTACCTTTTTACTGTGTTTTTTCCTTTGGGCTGCTTTTGGGGATCCACAAGCTCTTCAGATATGATCCTCTCTTTACTCCCCATTCATAGTACCTTCTCCATGGACTCATTGCAAATAAGTCTTTTTAGAATGCTTTTATACTCTTCAGAGCCTGGGAGTTGCTGGGACTAAGTAGAAAATCAGAATCTAAGGCCTGAGTCCCCATTTTCTGAAACAGAATATGCATTTCGACAGGCTAGCCAGGAACCCACAGGGACAGTAGAGCTTGAGAATTACTGATTTTTTGAAATTAGTTTCATAACATCAGCAATAGTCAGATGCCGACCTCCAGGACCTACAAGTGACTCCCCAGATGGCTTCCCCAGATCCCACTCCTACTCAGCAATATGACCACTCTCTTAGATCTCTCAGTTGGTGTGTGTGTGGCTCCCACCATTCTGTAGCTTCTCTGAGGAATATTTGGGGCTATAATATTCTCCTTATTGCTCAGTATAGTTCCATATCTTGCCGGGTGGAGATTCATCAGGATTTTCTGGTGTGCTGATGGCATACTTTCCAACTTCCAGTGATACCTGGAACTGTAATCATTGTGTGTCTTGTTCTTATTTCAGTACTGTTCTGGAAGGAAGGGAGGAAAAGCAAATTCAAGCACAGTCTACTCTCCTGAGTCACAATTCCTTTATAATAAAAACTGCATTAGACTAAAATATAGACATTTATGTGTTCTAAAAGTGCAGAACAGTAAATCAAATATAGCCTCTTCTACAGCCTCTTCTAACGTTTTTTCTTTTCAGTTCTCCTGCTGAGTTCCTCCATAGGTCTAGGGAATACCTTTATACCTCTGTTTTTTGTTTTCCATTTTCGCTCCCCTTTATGGAAAATTAGGATTCAGCTCACTTACACTTTGGACTTCTGCTCCCTAGCTTTTAATAGTGTTTGTTAAATTCTTATTTTTATTTCCTTTTATTGGTTACATTTGTAACTTTAAATAATATAGCTAAGCTTCTATTTTTGCATTCCATACAGTAACTTTTTAAAAAATCTAACCAAGTGCCATTAGCTTATTTCTCTAACTAGAACACAGACCCTGGAGACAAGAGCCTACATCTTGTTCTGACTTATCCCAGTGTGGGACTAGTGGAAGACATTCAATAAATATTGTATTAATTAACCGGGCATGGTGGCCCAAGTCTGTAATCCTAGCACTTTGGGAGGCCGAGGCGAGAGCATTGCCTGAGCTCAGGGGTTCGAGACCAGCCTGGGCAACTTGGTGAGACATCGTCTCTACAATAAATAAAAAAATAAGCTGGGCATGGTAGTGTGTGCCTGTACTTCCAGCTACTTGAAAAGCTGAGGCAGACGTATCGCCTGAGCCCAGGAGGTCAAGGCTGCGGTGTCCATGTGTGTGCCACTGCACTCCAGCCTGGTGACAGAGTGAGACTCCAACTCAAAATATACATATATATTGTATTAATTGTTTTGGACTGGGGAGGAAGGAGGTTTGTTATTCATCCACATAAGTGGCTAAGTGCATGGACTTTGGAGCCACACAGCCTGGGTTCAAATTCTGGCCACTTCTCTCACTAGCTAACACTGTGCACACATTGCCTAGCCTATAGCAGAATGGGGTTAATGACTGAACTTAGTGATTGTGAGAAGTTAATGAGTTCATGCATGTAAATGGGTGTCTGGCATAAAGGAAGCTTTCAACAAATATTATCACTACTGTTTTTGTTGTTATTATCCATACATTTCTTAAAATTTTCAATGAGATAAATGTCTATTAAAATGAATTTTAAGTTTCCTTACATAAGTTGTTGACATGAAGTCTACAATTTGATGGCAGTAAAATATGAAAAACAAAGCTTTCTGGCAATTTGTAAAACATTTCAGATGATTTCAGATTTTAGATAAAGTTTGCAGAAATTGATCTATTTTTTCCAGATATTTAAGGATGATGCTGACATTTTAGAATAGAAAATTAAATGAATTATTCATATGAAGAATCATGGAGGTAGATTCGGAAAGCTTAGGTGGAAGAGAACAATAGGTTGAGTTTCTCTAGAAGTTTCTCAATAGAACCCATAGGACTAATATCTTCCATAGCAAGATAGGCAGCAGCAGCCATATCCGTATCTGCCATAGCCACAGCCAAGGCCTCCATAGCCAAGTCCATAACCACAACTGTAGCCACAGAAACCACAGTGCAGGCCACTATAGCCATAACCCAGACCTTCATAGTAGTTGCCATAGTAGTACATGGTTTCAGGAGTGGGCAGTTCAATTGAGGAGCAAGAATTCAGTTTATTCAGTATGAATCATCCATACATTTTTTAATGTAGTGGTTGTTAACCAGAGGTGTATCACATAGTTACCTGTGGATCTGTCAGATACTCATACATAGGCCCTACTCTAAAAATTGTTTGAAAAAGCCTGGAGTGAACCTGATTATGTGTATTTTGAGTGACATGCTAGAGAGCTCTGATGCCCATCTCTAGTTAAGATCCATTGTCTGAAATATCTGCTGAGAGAGAGTCTGAGGAAATGGGAGACAATAGCAAGGAGCATGGTAGTCGGATGGGATGGGAAGCTATAGCATGGGGACCCACTAATGGGCAACTCTCCAAGTTCCCAGGGTTAGAAGAAGAAAGCAACTTGAATTTTCTCCATATTTAAATCTATTTCAGGGACTGTATTTTTCCCCCGTTGTTTCCTGGATGAAATCCTGGCAGGTCTCGTAGCTTCTATAGTTGTTCTAAGATAATAGAAATCTTCTAGGAATTCTTAGTTTCAAGAGTAATCTCATTGTAGTAATACAACTGTCCAATCCCATGTAGTAGTGCAAACTCTGAAGTTTATTTAAAGTTCGTAGGCTGGGCTCGATGGCTCAGCCTGTAATCCCAACACTTTGGGAGGCCGAGGCGAGTGAATTGCCTGAGCCCGCGGGTTCGAGTCTCGCCTGGGCAACTTGGCGAGACCTCATCTCTACGATAAATCAAAAATTAGCTGGACATGATAGTGTGTGCCTGTAGTTCCGGCTACTTGGAAGACCGAGGCAGAAGGATCGCCGGAGCCCAGCAGGTCGAGGCTGCGGTGGCCAGGAGCATGCCATTGCACTCCAGCCTGCGACAGAGTGAGACTCCTACTCAAAAAAAATAAAAAATAAAAGTTTGTTGATCTTTTCACAGAAAGAAGCTTTAACTTTGTTAATTTTCTCTATTGTTTCTTTTCTATTTTGTTAATTTGTCCTTTTTCTTACTTAGTTTTGCTTTACTTTGTTGTTTTTTATCTAGCTTTTTTCTTCAACATTTTACTATAAAAATTTTTATGTAGAATAAGAATTGTAGATTGAACATATATATATTATCTCCACTTAGATTTGACAATAAACATTTTGCTATATTTGATTTATTTCTTACCTGTCTGCCAATTCCTCTGTCTTTCCATCCGTTTACCTTTTTTTTTTTTTCCAGTGCATTTCCAAGTAAATTGCAGGGATTGGTATACTGTATCCCTCAGTACTTCCATAGGCATATCATTAATTAGAGTACAATATTTGTCAGTATTTTTATGAGTGCTTATGAGGTATTTTATTTTTAACTTTAAAATTTTTTATTTTAAAGATGTGGGGTACAATTCAGGTTAGGTATACAAATGTTCATTATGCAGGTAGAGGTATTTTAATAAAAGGAAATGCACTGATGGCACCATATGATCTTTGGCTGTATATGGTAATGTTTTATCATACTTCCCTGTGTATATTTTTTTTATGTGTGGTCATTATATATTTATACTGATGTGACTTTGTTCTTTCTTTCAAATGAAATTTATTAAAGTATAATGTACATAGCATGAAATTCAACTTTGTTAGGTTTACGGTTCTATAGTTATGACAATCATCATCACAATGAAGGTATTGGATATTTTCATTCCCCCAGAAAACTTGTTTCCTTTTATAATTAAATCTCTCTCCCCACCCCTGCCTTGATCTCTTTTCCTTCTAGTTTGGTTCTTTCTCGAATGTCATATAAATGAGTCGGACAGTATGTAGCCTTATGTGTCTGGCTTCCTTCACTTACTTTAATGCTTTTTAGTTTCATCCATGTCGTGGCATGTATCAGCAATTTGTTCCTTTTTATAGCTGAGTTTGTTTATCAATGGACCTGTTAAGGCACATTTGAATAGTTCCTGGTTTTT